AAAAAAAAACTGAGGTAAATGAAACTGATCTTAGCAAACTATGAGAATATTATAATTATTTTAAAATTTAGTAAGCAATTGTTGTGTCTTCAAACAATAGGAAAAAGTAATTACAAGGCATAGCTTGTTAGAATAATTTGGAGTGAAAAATCTGAGTTATTAATAAAAGATTACTGGAAATATACTGTGAAATTATCTCTTAAAAGTATATAGGCTCGTTCAACCCTGAAATATGTCCGCATTTAAAACTTAACAATTTGGTTTGGGTATTTAGCATCGTCAACTTCCACCCCGCCCCACCCCCACCCCAACCCCTTTCTCTTCGTTTTGAGCCATCTCTTCCCATTGCTTACATGTAGATACAATTGATATTATCATTGTAACCATTGGACTTAGATACATACAGTAGTGTATATTAATGTTAATAGCAAAAAACACACCTGGCTATGTGAAAAGGTCAGCCAACTTTTCTTGTCTGTGCACCTTAAAAAAAACTGCCAAGTCAAACTGCACTTATGCTGCCACCCTACCAAGTACAGTCTACATTGATTTGAACTCAGTTATTTTGAATTCCCCATTATTTCAAACTCACAACCGTTTCCCTTGGATTTGCTCTTCTGTCATTTCCTATTGGCTATAATTTTTCAAACTCGCGCTAATTTGAACTGTTTTTCATTTCCCATTTGAGAGTTCGAAATGGTGGGGTTCAAAGTCTGTACTTCAATAAACACAGGACACTCAATAATTTGTATTATATTTATTTAAACTTTAATAAGATATTTGATTTTCTTGTGTGATAATGTAGACTATGATTTTACTTAAATTAAAAAAAGGAATAAATACGTTGAACTGGAGACTTAAATTCAACACAGCATCATCAGTGACACATCCATGCCCAAATTATTATTATTATTTTTTGGCCAAAAAAACTGGTCGCTTTACCGACTAAATTATTTGATAGTAGATTCCTTGACTTAAAATGAGTATATTTGTGTACTAAAGGTTTCAAATTCATCAAGTAGGTAGCCAACAATATTATTTATTATTATTTCCCTGGATGGCTATATTTCAAAATGTGCTATCCTCTTGCTTCTCTAAAGTCAGTTTGTGGCAAATCACAGAGTTGTGTGTAACCCAACAGCCACTATTAATGTATGATCAAGATAAATAATATTTTACCACTTAGTTTTGCACTGCCAGAAATTAACTTTTCTGTAATGGAATGTCAGATCTAAATTATCCTTCCTGACACAAAGCTCTGCTCTAGGGTCAGTTCTGTGCCATTAATGACAATAAACTTTTTGTTTGTTTCCCACCAAAATAAACTGACTTGTTACCCAAACTTAAACCACTGCTACATGCAGACTTATCTTAGATTCCGTGATTGGGAGTTTGGGATCTGCAAGTCCTTTGTGTACATCCTTTTGATTAAAACACATGTAACATTTGCTTAATATCTATCTTTTTTTTCTTGCTTCTTTTTTAATGGAAAAGTACACCCCAATGTCACAACAAGTATGATGCTAAAGATTAAAATGCTACTACAAAAGAAATAAATGAAAAAAACTCTAGTTCTGATACAAAAGCAGAAAAGTATTAATTACCACTTTCATGTTGATGTTAATCTGCCTTCCAAATTGTACTTTGTTTACCTGTGGAAGAATACCATTCTGTTGATATAACTAACTTAAATGAATTATTGGACCAGCTGATCTTAAAATTCTTTTCAAACAAATGCATAACAATATCAATACTACTTTTAATTTTGGGCATCCCACAATAAATATATAATTATATAATCTGTTTTCAGACAGCAAATTAAACTAGAATAATGGCTTATTAGACTTAAACTGGTCAAGTCCCCTTTAATTTAGCACATACTCCTTTCAACATTGCTTTCCAAGAATGCCAAGCAGTAAATATTACCCTCACCACTTGACATACCAATACATTTTTAAAATACTGGCTAGTAGCATACAAAAGTTCTGCAAAAATGAAATCAACAAAAAATGGCCGCTATTTGTTGGTAGAAAGTAGCAGATCTAAGGTAGGGCCCCTTATTGGTTTTGAGAATGTAAGGACTGATTAGTGCCCCAAAGTATAGTTCCCATGAAAATGCTGACCAGGCCCTTTAAGAGTTAAAAAGTTCACAATCTCACTTTATGGCAACCCATTTGAGCAAATGTGAACATGCTGTGTATGTATATCTTTTCACAGTAACATTGTTCCATCAGTAGTGTTTGCTACTTCCCAATACTAAATGTAAGTTTGTTTATAACTACAGGGTAGGATTTTGCTTTCTTTAGTTACAATAACCATAGTTTTATGGATGTTTACCCACCCCTTGTCATAAAAAAGCAGTTAAATAGCTTATGATGTTCAAAATTCAGATTACTATCTGTCATTGACTCCAATCTGTTGGGACCAAAAACAGAAAAGGATGCAAAACCTTTCAGCCCCTGCAAATTCTCCTTACAGTGTACTTGTCTACACATACCCCCTATAGTAACACAAGTCAACTGCCAACTAAATAAAAATAACGGAAATTAAGACTTGCCCAGGGCAAGCAAAATTTGAGAGCTGCTATCCAAAGGGCAAGCTTAAATCCAAGCTGTGTCTTTTTTCAAGCCCTGTCAGACTGAAAACTCAAAGTTCATCATTACTACACTAGACACAAGTCTCGTTATCTGCACCATCAGCTTGATGATAGTTTTCTACTGAAGCCAAGTTTTCACAGCTTGATGCACAGCCATAATCTTTGCCATCTGTGCATGATCCTGTAAGATGATCTTCTCCAGCTGTTTTTCTGCGGCTGTGACTGCTTGCAAGATCAGGCTGCATTTCCCATATTTCCCCTCTAACTGCATCACTATTTGATGAGCTTTCCAGTTTTCCTCCAAGGTCAGAAAACCTTTTGGTGGCAGAAGCTTCTTCATCAGAAGGAACTGAATTGGCATCATCTTCAATTGCTGAGATGCCACAAGTAATGCAATCTCCAGTTTCCAAGCCACTGATGCCAGTTTCCTCTGCTTCATGCTCACTGTCCTGTGGAGAATTTTCTGCATTTGCACAAGGGTTGACATTCAAAGCTGGTTGGTCATCATTCTCTGCTAAGTCACTCAACATTGCTTGCATTTCAGACACAAAACTGCTACCAAGGTCCTCATATGACATTTTTAAACTACCAACCTCCACTGGGTCACCTGCTAAGTCAGAAGGCATGTTAGTATCTTGTTCAATTTGTCTGTCTGAATCCTCCAGTTCATCTCTATTCTTTTCCACTGATTTTTCATCACGTTCTCCACTGTTGATCTCATTTGCAATTTGCACCTCACTTTCCACTACATCACTTTGTTCATTACTAAGTTCTTCTGTAGGGGTTTCACCAAGTGATGCACTCTCTGCAGTTTCAACCGGAGGTAGGCTCTCCTCATAGGGCATAGCCTCACAAGCAACGCTCGCTGCCACTGGCAACACATTCTCATTATCAGTGATAGGAGCAACTTCAAAAGTGTCTTTACTGTTTGATTCAGGAATGCTAACACTTGCTGCAAGCATTATATTCATTTCTTTCTCCCGTCGTCGCTTCTCAAAATGGTGTTTTACGCCTGGCACAAGGCTCGCAATGATCATGCAGATAACAACAAAACCAAAAGCTGCAATAATGATCAGTGTAGTCAACCCCTCATCATTGTCATCATCATCCTCTTGTTTGGCCGCAGCTTGCATTTCTCCAATGACTGGGGTCACTGTAAAACCAACTGTTACATTTGTCGAAGTTGAGACAGATTCTTTTGAAGGTGAAGCTTGAAAAGAGTTAGCAAGATTAAGGGCTGATGTCAACTCTGCTGTTGATGTACTCGATGGAAACAATGCATGCTGTGTGGATGAAATATTCCTAGTTGTGATTAATGGTGTGGGGGCCACTGGCATATTTGTAGACACTGTTGAAGTTCTTGATGTTGTTGGCATAATTACAGAGGATGATGTTTCAGAACAAAGTGTCAATGGATCAGCAGCATGATAGCTTAGGTGAAATCCTTTCCATGCGAGGGCATCATCACTACGGAATTTCAGCCGAAGGGTGTTTCCAGAGCTGCAGATGACAGGAGGGGGTGGATTACTGTTACAAAATTTTCCAATGAGTGGTGCACTAGAATCAGAACCATTCCAAATTGTCAGGTGATCATGGGGACATCTATGCCTATTTGTATCACCCTCGACTTGAAACTCCACAAATCTTAAATGTACTGATTTATCTTCTGGCACAGTTATTGTCCAGACGCACTTGGAATTGTGAAAATATTCCTTTGGAAAATTGGGTGACCTCAGTTCGCCACTAGTTCCCTGTAAATGCCCTCCACACCCAGGGAAATACAGCGCATAAAATCCCACCTGAGTGTCTGATGCATTAGACTTGAATCGCACCCACAGTTTACCGCTGTCAGAACTGACCAGGGGAGGGGTAGTGTCATACCCACAATACTCTGCTAATACTGGTGCCAGGGAATAAGGCACCTCTCCAGCTCTGAGCTCAACATAACCACTGCTACATGGTATATTAAAATTGATAAAATCAAAATGTACTTTTGCTCCGTTTGGCATCTTCACAAACCACAAGCAATCCTGATCTGCAGTTGGGAAACTCTCTGTCATGATGCTGCCGGGATCTTGTGTCAAGGGGCCCCCACATCCAAAGATGCAACCATACAACTCCACTCTCATGCAGACAAAACTGAAATAACTCGCTGGGAAGATACGAATAAATTTCGCCGTGATTTCTGGCGTGAGGACATTTAATTTTGTTCCATCTCGCATCTTGTTTCCTGGTAAAATTGTTTCATTTTCTTTGTTTTTGTAGATCTCCCAAGACACCCCGTCCATACTATACATCAGTTGATATTTGCTGACGCGTCCCATACGAAGAGACATAAGTTCCGCCGCGGGGTAAAACCCTTGTGTTGCGATAGCCGATACAGCGCTCAATTTCTTGAGCTCGATTTGAAGGTACAAAGGTTCTTGAAGGCTTTCAGGATTGTCACTACACCAGGCTGACTTCCCGTTCAATCTGGCCGCAAAAGAAGGAAATTCTTCATGTGAATCCAACGCCGTCACAAGAGAGTCTTGTATTCGCCCGTTCTCCATACCCAGCGGAATACTGCAATCGTCGCAACTCGATTTTCTTCTTGATTGTCCTTCACACTCTGCGCCTCCATTCTTCGGTGATGGGTTCGAGCAATTTCTTTCCTTGTACCGAAATGGTAACGTGTCAATGTCGGATGGGACGTGGCAAGAACTCCACGAAGACCAAGGAGCCCAGTTTCCATCGATCGGCCGGGGTTTATTTTCCCCCCAATTCCACGGCATCCACGTATTTATACAAACACCTTGATGTGCGAAAACAGCTAAAACCACAAGCAGCGACAAGTTGAGGCAGATATTCATGGCGCTCTTGTCCTAATCGACAGTTTTCCGCACGCGACGAACGTTCTGCGAAAAATTTTGAACTGAAACCAATTAAGGTCTAAGTCTTCAAAGCAATGATAAAATCTAATCGGATGAACCTTTCGTGAAGTCCAAACTCAGCGTTATTAAAAATCCTTGTTTACAAACGTAGCCAACACAAAGGCCACATAATTACTCCCGATATTGTCTATCGTTCCCAGCCAAGCAAAGCCGATATCAAAAGCAATAACTTGACGAGGAAATTATGGAGATTGCGAAGTCCCAGCCCAGCAAGACTCGCTGTTTTCGACGAATAGAAACGAACTTGGGCGGAGTTATCGCAATTACGGCCAATACAATCGACCTCGTGACTTCTGAGATATTTATAAACGTATGTTGTGTTGAGAGGTAACTTTATCGGCCCACAATGCTTGGTCAATATTAAAGTTGTTGTTGTTTTGCATGCCACCCAACAAATAAAAACAATTTTCCCGCAGTTTGTCACTGACGTCAAACGTTTTTTTTTTTTTTTTTTACATTTCCCACGGTTCATATCAGGTTGCCGATCACACTGTTAAGAAGATATAAAAGTACTATAAACATCGTTCAACTTTGCGGGTACACGCGATCTCCTGCCGTGAGCGTAACTCCTTTCGCAACCGCCTTCACGTGCCTAGCATTTGTTCCACAAAATGTAACCAGCGTGATATTACATGTAATACGCTATTAGATTGTGGCTTTCAGTTAATTTCGGCCTTCTTAAGGATAGAAATCGTCATGAGACGTGCTAATGGTTTGTTTGTTTTTTTCATTACCCGAGAGAATTAACTAACGAACTTCCGGTTTTGGTTACTTTTCATTTCCGCTATGCCCAGCCACCAAATTTACCCAGCAGACATTTCGCACCTTCAAAGATGGTGGACAAGCAGTAGATGTAGAATTTTCTTGAAATATTTGAGGAAATGAGTTCTAAAGAAAACGTGTACAGAAGGATTTCTGGGTTCGGGAAGCTTCTTGCGGAGTGTCAGACACAGGTAAGTTTTTTCTTTTACGGATGAACCTCGTAAAAAGGCTGAACTATGATTTA